ATGATGATGAAAGCATTAAAAAACATGGTGTGAAAAAATTAAGCCTATCTGAGCTCATCCTCCAAAAAAATGAAAGCAGAATGATACCGTTTTATAAGCGGTTTCATATGAAACCCGCTTAGAGGGACCGATTTTGCGCGCGCATTTGCGCTGCAGATAAAAGTACCCATCCCAGTAAATTTGTAGCTCCACACTTTTGGAACTTTCTAATAACACATTTGACGGAAAAGTTTAATATAATATAGTCAGAGAAGCCTCCTATACCATGCTTTTCTCCTCTTTACTTAGTTCTTATCAGAGAGTAGGATGACAGCTGACTATTGGAACGACATTAAACTTCTTTTTATCGCTCCGCAAAATCGTTGGCGTAACAGCACAAAAGGCCATTACCATCGGTATCACTGCAATCACTGCAATTAACCTGACAAAAATTTCCTTACTCAGCAGTGATATGGGAAATGAGAGAGATGCGATGACAAAGGAATCACCAAAATGCCAATGAAATTTGATAGAAGCGCTGCGTGAAGTCAGTCAAATCAGCGGACGTTTGAATTGATTCTAAATTTTAGACAGAGCTTCTTTATAGGCGCTACCTGATTCATATCCCATTGCTCTGGCTCCTGACCAACATGGATTGCGGCTGTTCCAAAGTGAGGGAAACTTTCGTTGGACATTCTTCTTGTTGTACCCTAGATCAAACAAGATTTGCCATATTCTTTATTTCAAAATATGCATGAAATTCTGCTACAGGAAATCAGAATAGAAAGTAAAAATGAAACTTGCACAATGGTATGCCTCATCACTCAGTGAAACGGAAAAAGGAAAATGATCTACACTGTGATGCATCGAAAAGAATTTGCAGGTAGTTTGAATTGAAGCAAAGATAAGTGGTTACAGCACTAATACAGGTATTCAAAGCTGTAGAAAGAAAATTAAAACACAACTGATGAGAATTGAGATGAAAGAGTGATCCTGAAGAAAATTTCAGAGGGCGTTATAATTGCTGCCGATTTATAGGAAATTTCAACCTAGCGCATCACAAGTGAAAGGCATTGCTCCGCCTACCAATCTGCCGCTTTTTTGATTCCATAATATTGTAAACAGTACACGATAAGATAATATAGAACAAGATGGTAAAGAAAGATAATAACTAGTTCATATTGCAGATAAAGTGACAAATGAGATGTTGATAGTGTGTCAGCTACTGTGTTTGATTATCGCGTTTTTGGAATTTCCACAATAACTAATAAATCAAAATTTCAAAGATATAGGCAACCTCGCCTATAGGTTAATTCAAAATCGCATGAAACGGGGATAAGGCCCATTCGGCATAGTATGGACAATACTGCGTGTATGACCTAACGAGGCATACGCAGATCACGAAAACTATCTAGACAAACGAAGATAGTCTAAACCAGAGTGTTCCTCCATCACCTATCCTGCACAAAC